CGGGCGGGGTAGGGGGCTCTCCCCAGCGGCCCCGAGGCAGGAGGGGGGTTGCCCAGCCGGGGACTGCAGCCTGGCAGGAAAAGAACCCGTCTGTGAGCCCCTGGTGCTGTAATAGCCAAACCATGTGGGTGTTTGCGCGCGTGCGCACAGACGGGGTTGTGGGGCTGTTGTGGGGTTTTGTGCTTTTACCTGAGTCTGCTCCTCCGAGTGTGGGATTTTTTTTCCCAAGAAAAACCAAGACCCTTCTAAATGTGTTTTTGGATGAGGCTTGGCCTCCGCCCCCAGCTCCCAGCTGCACCTTGCGCGCTGTAATAGCCAAACCATGTGGGTGTTTGCGCGCGTGCGCACAGACGGGGTTGTGGGGCTGTTGTGGGGTTTTGTGCTTTTACCTGAGTCTGCTCCTCCGAGTGTGGGATTTTTTTTCCCAAGAAAAACCAAGACCCTTCTAAATGTGTTTTTGGATGAGGCTTGGCCTCCGCCCCCAGCTCCCAGCTGCACCTTGCGCAGAACATCTGTGCATCTCCGCTGCCTGGGGCTGGGCTGCCAGTCAACATCCCAGCTGCGAAAGACCGGGCCAGCCGCCTGCCTGTGGCCATTGCTTCTCGTGCCACGAGGGGGCGACTGGGCCCCGGCAGAGGACTGGCTGCTGCTGGGGAAAGAACACCTGGCTTGCAATGGCAGGCCCTGTTAAAGTGGATGGGAGCTTTGCCCCATGCGTGGAGGGCCAAGCAAGCCCCGGTAGGAGTGTCAGCCGTCCGCCAGCAGCACTCAGCAAAGCCAGTCTTGGTTTTAAAGAGGGGTAAACTGAGGCACAGAGCTGCTTGAGGCGAGTCAGGAGCAGCAGGGTAGGGAATAGAACCCAGGAGTCCTGGCTGAAGGATTATTTTCCCAGAGGGCCCAAGATGCCTGTTTCTCTCCCACAGGGCCTGTAAGGAGCCCGTGGGGAGCCGCAATAGGCTGCAAAGGGAGGTTAGAGGGGGTGGAGAACTAGGAGGCTGAAGCAGGATGACGTACACCTAGGCCAGCCTGGCCGGGTGTTTGTCATGTATCGCTTCATCCCAGATTGGGCCGTGTGTGTGTGTGTGTCTGTGCGCACACACATGACTCCTATCCCCATCCCCTCATGAATTCAGTTTGCTTTTACCTTCGAAAAGCTCCTGAGAAGTGTGCAGCCTTGGAGGGCTGGCTGCTCCCCAGCAATCAGCACCCAAAATTGGGAGCCACTGGGGCCTGTGGAACAGTGTTCCCTGAA